TTTTCTGAGGTGGAAACATCATGGTGGCGGGGCTTTACCAGCAGTAAACTGTGTGGCTTCTGTAGTGAGAGTTCAACGTGGTCGTGAAGACACGTGGCAGCCACACAGAGGCCCCCACACCCACCGAAGGGCCAGCATCCCATTTCCTGTGCAGATCGATAGGTTCGGTCTGTATGGAGAGTTAATCAGGTTATGCTGACAGCTGCCTCAAGGATTTATGTCTTGCTGCTCTCCGGTGGAAACTGGCTCCCTCTGCCTCCAGCAGCCACCTCCAAAACAGAGTCAGCTTGGCGACATTAAAGCTTTCCAGGTGCCTTTATTCTGTGTTTCTCTGAAGCTGCTGCAGAAAGAATTGTCAAGACACCACTCCCTACTGATGTCCCAAAATGGTGCAAGAAACTGTGAATGAGAAACTCTGACCCTGGAGTCCCTACTGCCCTTTGCTCTTGGGTGCCTCCCCCGACTCAGGGAAGGAGGGCGTCGGGGACATCCTTGTAAAGAACTTATTTGGCAGAAAATCTTTGTGCCTCCGCAGGATAGACAGTAGACATCTGCTTGGGTGATTTCTGTGTTGACAGCAGCCCTGGTCACCAAGTTCAGTGTAGTAGGCTTGCCTTTGACCTGAAGAGAGATCTACCTGAATTTAAATATTTTAGCTTACAACCCCTTTGGGAGAGTTGCGGGTTCTGTTGAGAGTCTAGGGCAGCCTTGGCCTGTGCCGTGCCAGCATGCCTCAGCGGGTGAGAGCCCAGGACGGATGCCCCGCAGAGCTTCGAGCTCCTCACCGTGTGAACTGTGCTTGGTGACTCTGCGGCTCAGACGGTCATTTTATCATGTGGTTCCCACACCTTGTAATGACCGGGAAGGAGGAGTTGGGCCCATCAGTGAGGTTGCAGTGGAGGTGGTTTCTACCCTGCATAATTATGGGTCTGCCAGGACAGCTCTGCCATGGGAATGAGTCATCACTGAGCTCAACCTGCCTCAAAGGAACCAAGTGTCTGCTTGGGGCTCATCTCCCTGACCATCCCACTCCGCCAAATCGTTATTTACAGAATTTCCCATGATCAGAGCACCTACTTGTTAAAGAGGATTTAACTAAAACACAAATAGCTGCAGTTGGTCTGCACCTTTTGTTAATTCTGTCTGTGTCTTGTTTTCTCCCCCACCGCAATGGATTTTGGAGGCTGATAGTTTAGGTTGATGGAGGCCATGAAAATGACAAGCAGCACACACAGCAGAAACAAGTCTGCTGAAGAGCCTGAGGATTAGGGCGGAGGGCGGCGTTATACTGCCACCTTGTGGTTAAAATGCATCTGCTTTTAAAGTGAAAGGCTATCAGTTTTTCTACTCATTGAATCACATAGTGATTAAAGTCATGAAATGAATGGGTATGAAAGAATAAGAGGTTATGGAGCAAAATAATTTCATCCCAAATATTTTAGTCCAAAATAATTGTCCAGACCAGTTTTTCAAACGATCCCCGACAGAAGTCCTACAACCTTATGCACTGACCTTGCTCAGGGCGGAATACAAGTTCCCACCGTAGTCTGAAATTATATAAAATCGGGGCAGGGGGTGTATTGCCCCTTTTACAGCAATATCACACATTAATATTAAATTCTGGTCTTGGTCATGATTATATAGCAATGCAGCCAATGATGGAGTCTGTTCTAAAACAAAAAGAACTCCCACCTTGTGCAGCTCATCTTAGTGGGGTATCAGAGCTGTATAACTGTGAGTGCAAGGCCAGTGCTGCTTCCCCTTTGCCCTCTGATGAGTAACCCACCGCATCATTACACATGTGGTCTGACACTGGGGTATTTGTTATTCTTTGAAGAAATAATATTCTGTAATTGAATGCAATTTGATTGAGGATGGTAAGAACAGGATTGAGAGAAACAAGCATGAGCACATCAGGGAAGACGTCCCCAAATTCCTTGCGTACCTCTGCTGGTATGGATTCATTCTGGAGTCCCAGAAAATGCTTTACTTGTATAGGAATTAGCAGAAGACATGGTGGTCCTCAGGACAGTGACAGTGTCCTGGACTTAGCAGCCTTGGGTCATCTTTGCCTCACGGCACCTGGCTGATGAGGCACACAATGAACACTCCTCATTGTGGTGGGCCCTTCCTTTCAGGATTATTTACTTTGCAGACACTGCCTCCTGTCTTCTTATTTTTACCCTCTCCTGCTAATCCTGAGAGAAGCCTTCCAGCCATGGGGACAGACGTGGATCTCCACACTCTCAAACCAAAAGTAGGACCCAGAGCACTGCACGAGGGCCCAGCCTTGGGGGAATGGCCGCTGAACTTCCAGGAAGGCCTTGGACCGTTCACAGGAGACCTCCAGTCTCATCCTCACCAATAGGAAAGAACATGGAAGTGACATATGTTTATCTGCAAATGGGGTCCGTACATCTGTACACACTGGGGAGGAACGATCTAGCTTATATACCTGGGGTCAGTCCGTCTACTCACACAGGGGAGGGGAAGTCCAGCCATACACAAGGGGGAGGGCAGGTCTGACTCAATTGCAGGTAAGCCACCAAAATGTAAGTAGGCCATGAGCAGAGAAGGAATGAACTGGAGAAGTATGGAAACAGAAGTCTTGAAAAAGAGAGCAGGAGAGAAGAGCAACGGGGCACAGACCTCCTCTGAAATAGGCCTGATGCCCCTGGAGGTGTGCTGTGAGCTCAAAGTCATGTGCGTGTGGCCCCTCCCGGGGCAGTTGCCCTTGACCCATCCCCATCCCCACCCCTGCTGGACTGTCTAGCCCCAGCAGAGGCTTCTGGGAGGTGGAAGCACCCTTGGCCTTGGAGATTACAATATATCTGACTCAGAAACATGTACCAGATAATGATAATTCTTTTCACTGTGAGATTTTTGTTCACAGTGGGAACTTTAGGAAAAAAGTATTTCTTTTAGTAGCTTTTTAGCCAATTCTAGTTGAAGAGGAGTGAGCAAGGAGTTTGGACACATTTTTTTCTGAATTATAGCCTTTATTCAGACGCTTGCACTAATCAGCTTTCATTGTCTCTTTCCCTACATTGTTTTTATCGGCCAGCACCTCACGTATTTTATTATATCCTATCAGCCTCCTGCGTGGAGAGAAAGAGAAGCAGAGAAATGTACCAAAGTGGAGAAGGTGCCACATACCCCACAGTAGCTGCTGGACACATGTCTGGCTTTGGAATCACTCACAAACGTGCTGTTTTCTCAGAACCTGGCGCTTCATTAACAGACACTAATTAGCTCTGCTGTGTGAGTGAACGAGGGGGTGGAGGGGGAAGCAAGCAGATGCCTGCACGCCAGATTACATATGTTGTGCTTTGGGCCTATACATAAAACTTAATTCCATGTGTATTCATGGGTCGCCAAGATATGTGCTTGCTTGAATGTTTTTGAATAACTTCTGTGGTGCCAATTTGTCTCGTACATTGAAAGTGAATCAATTGCTGTTTCAACAAGTCCTGAAAGTAGTGGTGGTGACATTCATTCAGGGGGAGCCACCAGAGCAGCCCAGCTGGGTGTGGGTTGCCCGAGACTGTGCAGGGAGAGCTGACCAGCGCGGGGGATGCAGGGAGCTCCCTTCTGCATGGGAAGTATTTACAGAGTATTGGGAAGTGTCCCTGTTGATTCAAGGGCCAAGGAAAACAATCACCTTGTCTTCTAGAATTCTCAGTGTACATTACAGGTGTATGTAGCATTTTTTTCTTTTTCTCCAGCTTTTTGTCATTCATTATTCCTCCACCTTAAATATTCAGATATATGAAACATATTTCACCTGGCAAAAACTCAGTCCTGTTGAAACACCCTGTCTGCCCTGAAGCCACCAAGTGCTGGCTGGATGGGCTCACCGTGATGATAAAACAGTGACGCCTCTTTTAGTGAACAAACAAGAATGGAAACATAGACAGTCTTACAAGAGGATAAGTTTTTTGAATTTTGGCTTGTTATAAGACAACACTTTTTATCTGCTTACCTTATTCGTGAAACCTGAGATTAAGTTAGAGGCTATTCCTTGTAAGTTAGAACCGATCAAAGCAAATGTTCTTTAAATTAGACCTCTTTGACAAGAGGTCATTAATTTGACTCTACTACTCCATTTCTCAAAATGTATTACTTGAAATTGTTCGGAAAACTAATCTGCCCATGTACAGTTAAGAGAAAACATACCAAAAAGGGAGCAGAGCGCCCTCTACGGGTGAAGATCAGAGGCTTTGGAGTCAGAGACCAAACTCCCTTCACTTGAGACACCTGATAGGGAACTTACTCAATGTCTCTACCATTCAACCTTTTTGTCTGAAAAACGAAACGGAGATTATCAGTTAGTGCCTTCCTCACAGGCTAGGGCAGCGATTAAATGCAGAAAGCATTTAGCAGAGGCCCAGGCACATGCCAGGTGCTGAAATGTACTTGGTACAGCTCCTATACTTCATTTGTTGTTCATAATTTCTTGTTTGCTGCTGGTGATGTTTCTTAGCAATGACTTTCATCCATTCACCTGAAAATGTACGTATTGGGTGTTCATAGAAGTGCTGTGAAAGCTGGCCCCAAAAGGAAATAGTTACGTAAACAGAATAGACAACTGTTAATGGGGTGAATGTAAACACATTCTCTTTCTTGCATTGCACCAACATGAAACATTCTGGAAGAGCAGCGGGTTTGGGGAGCTAGAGAGACAGGTGGGGAAGTTGCAGCCTTAGTAAGTGCTGTACCCTGCCTGGGAAAAAAGGTCTCCAGGTACACACTGATGTGTCTGCTGTGGAGTACCTGGGGTCCTATAAGGAATCTGTCCCCAAACATTCCAGGACGATCCAACACCCATCTCCTCACATGCTGTGCAGCGCTTGTACATTCCTTGTTCACATTTGTAGGGGACAAAGGTCCAGTTGAATCCAGAGCACTCACCTCCCCGACTCTGCAAAGCCTTCCGCCCAATGGGATGCTGGCTTGTTGTCACCTGTGACGTCCTTTCAGACAGATTGGTCTCTCCGCAGGCAAAGCAGGGACGCAGCCCTCACCCAGCGTCTCCAGCTCCAAAGGACTGACGTACTCACCAGCCCAGCGCCACCTCCTGGTTTTACCATGGGACCCTCTGGGAGCCTGCTAGGCAGTGAACACTTGCAGCTTGTCCTTTTGGGGAGTTTGGCAGCTGCCACCACTTTCTTCCTCATCACCTTCCTCATCTTCCTGTGCTCCAGCTGTAACAGGTGAGAGCATGTGTGTCTGCTGGAATCTCAAAATGGCACGGCCCCGCCCCCAGCACCCCATAGAAAAGCCTGTTGTGATGGGGGAGCCCACTGCACAGACAGTCGCAGAAACTTCTGAGTTCAGATTAACTGACATCTCTGCTGTCGAGGGTCCTGGTCCTGCTCTGCTGAGTGAAACCTCTACCTGGCTTTGCCAGGGAGCAATGGGAAGAGCCCTGTGGACGAAACTTCCCGGAGTGACGTCCCTGCTGCTCTCTTGAGCACTGGCCAAAGTTTCCATTGTCTTTTTCTGTGGACGTTTGGAAATCCAAGTATGATACGGATTGAAGATATGCTTTTTGCTACTACTTAAGAATTCCTGCATGTCTGCTGTTACCTGGCTTTGGAGGGACCAATTTGTTACAGATTTGCAATAATCTAGCACTGCTGTAGTTTCTAAAGAAACAGATTAGTTTTTCTATAAGAGAGATGTACTGTTTATGAAATAATCGTCTTATCTTTTCTTAGAATTCCCCCCGCTTTCCTTTATGTCTCACTCATATAAAATATCTGTACCCTCAGAAAAGAGACCGTGGCTCAGAGAGAAGCAGGGTTCTTTCTAAGAGGAGTGACTGTCAGGGTGTTCAGACACTGTCGCAGTATGTGCCGCTGCTGCTGGGAGCCTCTGCAGACCCCCAGTCCCCTTCCAGTAACCTCGGAAGAGACTCGAGTGTTATTTAATGGTCTGATATGGCTTCCTACCTTAATGTTTCTGTCAAGAGGGCTAACGCTGGACTCTCTGAACCCAAGAGCCTCCTCCTGCCTGCTGAGGTTGCACCCAGGCCTCAGAGCTGGGACAGTGTGACCAGGAAGAAATAGAACCTCGGCTCCCTGGGCCTGGTTGCTGGCGGGCACCGGACCTGCCTCTGTAGTCACTGAGTCTCCCACTAAGTGGCGATGTTGCCTTACATATCTGTGGGACACAAACTCTAGAACTGTTGGCTCTCTTAAGAGTGTCCAGAGTAAAAATAAATTCTATTTTTGTGCTACGGACTTTTCCATAGACTGGAAGTACATATGACTCATGCCGAGACTATGCACCCTTCCCAATGTGCCAAAATGTGTATTTCATTTGATTATTTTCTGAGTCCTACTGCCGTGTGTCACTTTGAAAAGACTACAAGTTGAGAAAAGTGAAGAGACGTCTGGAATTTTTTTTTAAAGCATCACTCTCCCAGTATTGTAGATATGCTCAGTTCTTACTCAGGACTTTGCCTCTGTCCCTCATTGAGAACCTGTCGTTTCTACCCCTGGAGGAAGGGGACAGCAGGGAGTGACAGGTCCCAGCCCTGACTCGACCCTCCAGACCCCCCGCAGCCAGGGAGTGAGGAGCACCTGAGCGCCCTTGGCTTCCTGGGCAGCTAAACTGGGTTCTTAGGACAGATGTCAACGTTGATAAACATTAGGATAGGAAAAGGCATGTGTGTTTGATTTTAGATGGCGTGTCTGACATCACAGTGATGTCTTACTTTCCATTTCAGAGAAAAGAAGCCGAGACAGTACAGCGGAGACCACGAGAACCTGATGAATGTGGTGAGCCGGTGTGCTGTGTGTGCGCCTGAGTTCGCAGGCTGCCGGGCTGGGTCCTCCCTGCAGGTGCAGACTCACAGCGGCTGGAGGCTGGTGCAGGCAGCCAGGTTGCCGGGAGGGTGCCAGACACAGGTGCAGTTGCGCTCCTCCAGGAGGATTCTGCTAGAGCTCCATCCTACAGCAGAGATGTCCCTTTTTGGCATCCTCCCAGCTCCAGCTCATGTGTTCATTCACTAGGGCTGTTGTAACAAGGGACCTCAAACTAAGTGGCTTAAATATCAAATTTATTGTCTCACAGGTCTGGAGGCTGGAAATCTGAGATCAAGGTGTCAGCAGGGTTGGTTTCGAGGGCAGATCTTTTCCAGCCTCTCTCCCAGCTCCTGGTGGCTTGTTGGCCGTCTTTGGTGTCCTTGGTACCTCCATGGTTGCCCAGTGTCCTGCCCTGTGTGCTGTCCCTGTCCAAGTTTCCCCTTTTTATGAGGATTACAGGATGACCTCATCTTAACAAGTTTCATCGACAGTGATCCTGTTTCCAAATAAGGTCACATCCTAAGGTATCAGGGCTTAAGACTTCACCGTAGGAATTTGGGAAGCGTAAAATTCACCCTGTAACAGCTGGCCATCAAGCTAACCGGGCCTGAGGGCCTCCACGCTCTAGACGTGGCCTGGCCTTGCTGGGTTTCCCCAGCCCTCAGTCTTAGGGGCCCCGACCAGCCCTGAGGGTGTCAGGGCCACCGGGTGAGAAGCAGCCTGAGTGGCCGGGTCCCTTGTGGACTGGTTCTGCCTTGCGCTCTTCACTCAGGTGCATGCTCTTGACCTGATGAATCATTCCAGCAGCTGGGGATGGGCCCACCGTCACGTTTGCAGGGTGGTCGGCTTCATCAGGGTCCCCCCTAAACCCCACACGGTGCTGAAGCGGAGGCCGTGCTTCCTGTCCCTAACGCGACCTTCCGTGATCAGGCAGTACGGCAGCGTCAGCCTGTTTGGGGAGAGGGAGTGAAGCGTGCAGCAGCAGACAGGCTCAGAGCTCACCTGGGAGGCGTCTCCAGGCTCATTTGCATGCCTGGCGTATGTGCCCAAGCAGACAGGAGGCTGCCGGGACCCTCTCTCTCCTCCTGGGAGCACCTGGGTCCCCGCCCCCTTCTGCTCTGGTGCCCCTGCCGCTGTCCTGGGCTCTCAGCACCGCCCCTGACCCCTGTCACAGTCCCTGGTTGTCTGGTTCCCATATGGGTATTTTCTTCTAGAATCTAGAGTAGAGACGGTGGATAGAGCCCAGCTTATGATAATTCAGCTGAGATAGGTTGTTAGGCTCTTAGAGGCCTACCTGGGAGGCTTCCTCCCCACACCTGACGCCTGCTCAGATATAACCTCCCTTCTATGATATTAGCATCCGCTCCTCAATTCCTGGCCACCTAACACAGTGACCCTTCACTGAATGGAACAGCGGACTCCCACGAGCTTTTGGAGCAGGACAGCACGAGCCATGTGCTCTCTGCCGTCATGTTGCTCCCAATCCAGAGTCAGGATGTACGACACCGACAGGCCAAGCTTCTGATGTGCTTTCCGTCAGCAGTGTCCAGGCAGGATCCAGGAACCCACAGCCATAGCTTGGCCTGGCATATTAGTCCATGTAGTCCCCACACTTTCAACCCCAGCAGAAAACCTTCAATCTCCAAGGCTGTCCTCTCCTCCAAGTGCTCTGAATTTGTGCTCTGAAAATAAGAAAGGTTTGCAGGCCTGTTTTTTTTGCCTCTGCTTGCTTTGTGAACTTTGAAGTAGAGACTTGGCTGATTGTGAAGTAGCCCCAGCAGTTAATGATAGTGTCTGCATTTAACAGGTAGATTCTCTTCCCATCAGGTAACAACAGGGGATGCTTTTCCTCATTTTGCATGGTGCGGCTCACCTTTTAGACGTAGTATTTCACGGCACCTGGGACACAAGGATGAGGCTGTGCTGGTGTTGATTGTGATGAGCAGCACAGGGTTCCTGGTCCCCTCCTCGCCTGGAGCGAGGGGGCGGATCCCCTGACCACTCAGGTGGGAGGACCCACCTGAGAATTCCAGGTGCCCTGACAGTTCCAGGACAGCCCCATCCAGCAGGACTTCCCACCAGGACGAAACGTGTCCTGTGTCTGATTTGTGTGACATGGGAGCCACCACCTACATGTGGCCACAGAGCACTTGGCATGTGCCAAGCACAACGGAGCAACTGAAGTTGATTTGATTTCATTAAAACCAATGCAGTGGATGTACAGTTTTGTTGTTGCATTTTGATTTTTAGAAGAAGGTGCAGGTGCTCCCTTCTCCCGAGCAGTCTGACCCATGCAGTGTGTCTGTCTTGCAGCCTTCAGACAAGGAGGTGACCAGCCATTCAGTGACCAGCCTGGCCACAGATGTTCCTGCCAGCAGTGAGCAGAACGGGGCTCTCACCAATGGGGACAGTAAGTCTTGCAAAAACGGGCTTTCCACACAGAACTCATCACCTAAGAAGTGTAGCTCAGTACCCCACGGCATGGCTCAGTTGGTTGAAGCATTGTCCCATAACCGAAGAGTTGTTTGTGGGTTCAATTCCTAGTCGGGGCACACAGCTAGCCTGTGGGTCCGATCCCCGGTCTGCACAGTCCAGGTGCACGTGATCCCCGGTCGGGGCGCATAAGGGAGGCGGCCAGTCAATATTTCTGTCTCCCTCCTTTCCTCTCTCCCTTCCTTTCTCTCTAAAGCAGTGAAAAAGTGTCCTTGGGAAAGAATTTAAAAGGAGGAAGAAGAAAGTGTAGTTCAAAGACCGAGAAGTGTTTTTAAATTCAATCTTTGTGCTACTCCTAGCAAAAGTCATTTCATTTGGTCAAAAAGCTACAGTGTATTGATTGGCTTCTGTGCAGCACTGCTCCGAGACGTGTGCTCCCTCACGTATCCTCACAACCACATTGTCAGGTTGCTGTTACCACTCCCTGTAAGATGAGTATGAAGCATGAATAGCATCACTGTCCACAGTTTGCAGTGAATGGCTCGTGGCTACAGCAGCAGATGACCACAAACGTAGCCCCTTCGAATGATATAAATGAAGGAACTTACTATTAATCAGTGTCGGCAGGGCTGGTTCCTCCCGGAGGCTCTGGGGAGGTCCGTCTCCTTGCCTGATCCAGTTGCCGCGGCCCCGGCATTCCTCGTCCCTGCCTTTGCCTGTGCTCCACATCCTGTCCCACTGTCCTGCCTCCCAGTCTCACTTAGGGACCCTCATAATGACACCAGCCCTGGAAATGACACCGGCCCACCTGGGTACCAGGCTGCTCTGGCTGTCTCAGCTCAGCTGAGAGTTCTGTGTCCTTAGTTCCTCCCATGTCCCCTAATGTCACCTACAGACTCCAGAAATTGGGACGTGGACCCTTTGGGGGCCGTTATGTTGCCTACAACACAGGCTAGCCATCTGCCCGAGGTCACAGTCAGCGCACTGAGGGTCTGTGTTTGAACCCAACAGTCTGCATCGTGGGCACGCCACGAGGGCCGCCCTACCGACTGGCTGCCCTCCCCTCAGGCTGCTCCCCAGACAGAAGGAGCTCCTGCATTTGTACGTACATTCTGGGTGACAGAGGCACTGACCCGAGCTGGGAGGCTGTCAGCACACTAGGATGCTGGACACCCAGTGTTGACCTGAGTCTTCGCTCTGGTGCCCACGTCCATCCACCAGGACACAGGCGTCTGGGCCCAGAAGGCCAACGTGCCCCTCCCACCGTGCAGACTTAGTATCCAGAGCAGTGCAGGGGAGAACGAACATTCTGACGGTTGGGGCCCATCATCATTTTTTCCCACATATTCCTGTGAGATGCTGTCTCTAATCCCCGCAAAGACAGACGCAGTTTTGTTGTTGTTTTGTTTTCAAAACGAGGTGAGCACTGTATTCATTCATTCTCTCATTTTTCAAGCAGAAACGTCACTGTGCCTGCCATGTGTTAAACACTCCCTGGGCCCCAGTGGTCTTAGAGAGTCCCAGTCTAGCCAGTAAAAAACAATGGGCTAAAAACTTTATGTTATAAACGCACACACACATAAGGAGTATATATCACATGCAAGGAATACACTAGATCAAGTGAACACATGTGTGGGTATAGAGGCATAAGCACATATTAAAACATGCATCTGTACCTACATACCCTCACACACTTCATACCTATGTGTCAACACTGTGCACTGGAGACATGGCGCTGGGTGATGTCGCCTGCCGGGTCAGTGCCAGGAGGGCCAGCCCCTGCTGACTGGCAGGCCTCCGGACGTCCAGGCCGCAGTGAGCGCTGAGCACCTCTGTAAAGGGGTGACGGTGCCTCCACACGCAGCATCCCGTGGCCAGCCCAGGGTTTCACACTGGGGTTTTCTGATCTGAGTGGAAGTGGGAAGTGGGGAGACCTTTAAAGGTCCCTTTGTGACACTGGTTGAGAGCACATTTTTGCCCCATCATTCACTGCCAAACACAGTGACCTTTGAAAGGGGATGGCCAGTGATGATCCCATCTGAACAGGGAGGCCAGCAGGGCCGGGGAGAGTCGCCAACAGACACTTTCACCTTCGGGCTGCCGGGGTGTTCCTCTCAAGCTATATGGCCCCATGAATGTCCCCCTGGAGTCATTCCTACAAGGGTCCCATCTGGAGTAGCAAGAGACAGTGGAAGTAACTGGGAACCAAATGTGTAGCCAACACAACTTATGAAATACTGTGTTGGAAAGATGTGATTGAAATAAGAATGTCAGCTAACAATCAGAACATCTGTAACTTGCAGCCAAGAATCAAACACACATAAGCCCATTGACATTATACATGATCTGAGTCCCTGAAACAATTATTCCAGGAGTTGTCCTTCTCGCCCTAATTCTGCTCTAGTTGTCTCAGAAGACAGCACCGTGACCTGCATGCAACATTACGAGGAGGTCCAGACCTCAGCTTCCGACCTGCTGGATTCTCAGGACAGCACAGGGAAACCCAAGTGTCACCAGAGCCGGGAACTGCCCAGAATTCCTCCAGACAGTGCAGTGGGCACAATGGTCAGTGCGGGGAGCATGGATGGAGACCCAGGGGCGGGGACGGAAGGGCCGTACGAAGTGCTCAAGGACAGCTCGTCCCAGGAGAACATGGTCGAGGACTGCCTGTACGAAACTGTCAAGGAGATCAAGGAGGTGGCTGCAGCTGCGCCTCCGGGCAGAGGCCCCAGCGGCCAGTTCAAAGTGACCTGCGCTTTGAAGGAGCTCCCAGCCAAGGGCAGAGCCGACTTCGCTGAATATGCCTCTGTGGACAGGAACAAAAAGTGCCGGCAGAGTGTGAACGCAGACAGTGTTCTGGAGGCTTCCCAGGATCCAGAGGAGGAGGCCCCACCACCAGTCCCCGTTAAACTTCTGGATGAGAATGAGAACCTTCGAGAGAAAGACGACAGGAAGGCAGGAGAGGAAGGTGCCCCGGAAGGGACGAGTGACAGCAACAAGGTGAGTTGTGACGTTGTTTCATGTGCTTTTATCATGGTAGGAATCTAGCGAAACTAGGGTTTTTTCAGGTGCATATTTTGGAGAAATACATACAGACAGGTTCAGATTTGGTGAATGATGAAAGCTATTTTGGCATAAGCTGTGTTTGACTTTTTCCCCTTCAGGTAGTAGAAGACCAAATACTTGTATTTATAAAATATTTCTCCCTGGGCAGCTTGCCTCAATATTTTCCAGTTTTTACATCATGTTGAATTGGAGCCACATGTTGTTTTCTTTCTTTTGAAGACCTGTAGTTAAGGAGACTAGACTCAGCCACTCGTTTAGTCTCTTCAGTTTGCTGTCACCTCCAGTGGTGAGGTAACTCCTATCCGCTCCAGATCCCAGACATCAAAGCAAGGAAAGCAACTCATAGGTGCTACTGGTTGTGTCTGATTAAGCATAATATTTCATATAAATCAAGTAAGAGATTTTATTTTGCAATGATTTCTAAACAATAACCTGTACCTCAAGTTTAGATAGTCAACAAAGCTCTAAAATGCATCAGTGATCCGCAAGCCGTCTCTCTGTGTCCGGTGATGCAATGTGTGAGCTCCAATAGTTTGAAATTCTTGTCTCCAGCCGCCCTCTTTCCTTGGGATTCAACTAGGCTCAGTCTTCTCCAGGCAACTAATATCTAATTTCCATTTTCTACAAAGGAAAAAGCAAGGCTGCTTCTCAGGTTTTGGTAGGAAGGCCAAGGAAGGGTTAGTCCATCAATAGTAGCCTTTAGAACTGTCTGGAGTTCATGGTCAAAAGGTGGGCCCTGGCTAAGATTATATGGGTTACAGCAAGGAGGTCATTGTAGTGTTTTCTCTTTTCATCTTATCAATGAAACCATTTGTTGAGAGCACCAACGAAAGTGAACGTAACAGTAAAATATAAAAACAGTTTAATTTTTTGCCCTTCATATTATCAAAGATAGTAAAGCAAATGGGAAGTTTATACTGCCTAAAGCCATTAAAACTTTTTTCCACAAGGGTCGAGTTCTCCAGTGACCAGGAAGGGAGGTGGGTGTTTACAGTAGGGTTGTGATGCTGGCTGTGGGCTCTGTACTCCACAGAGCAGAAAGGGAAGACACGAGAAGAAGCAGACATCAAAAAAGGGGGTCGGAGCCAACAGCAGGGAAGGATGGTTGGAACTGGGCTCTGAGAGGGGTGCACCTGAAGGCTGAGAGCCGGTCTGGGAGGGCTGCGAGGAGCTGAGGTGGTGCAGCGGCTACGGGCTGTGGCCCAGATGAGCAGTGAGGACAGGTGGAGGAGGGCAGTGTGGGGAGGTCAGTGAACTAAAGATCAAGGTTCAGAAGGATTCGCATCTGTTGAAATCAGGAAGACCTTAATTTGGACAGGAGGTGTATTCGAGAATCAGTGAACCAGGAGCCAGACTCACTGGGCACTGGGGCCAGGAGCAGACCACAAGACGTGAGTGGACTTCTCCATTAGCCGTGAGAAGTCTCTGCATGACTAAAGAACCTTCCTGGTGACTCATGCAAACTGTAGAAATACAAAAGTCAGGCACTCCATAAAAAACACAATTATTTTATTATCAGTTGTTCATTGATGATCAATCAGTGACAGTTAGAATTGAAACGGTAGTCTGTTTGACTTATTTGAACCTGTGGATTCAAATACAAAGTTAGAAGATACTTCTCTACGACTACAGGGTACTCCAAAACAATACACAATACATTTTTATGTGTTTATTCCTCTGGTGCTTTACATAATGTTATTGTAGAAAATAATTTATTCCCTAAGTCATTTCAAAACATTTTAACAGACGCATCAAAAGTTACATGAAAGAAAATTTGGATATTGATCATACCGCAGCTTCCCTTGGTTTCTGTTTTCTAACAGAGATTTAGTTCCCTGTCATACAAGTCCCGCGAAGAAGACCCAACTCTTACAGAAGAAGAGGTAAGTCTTGAAGCTTCTTTAATCACAGGAAAACTTCTATACTAAAGAACAGAGCATCCTCCTTGAATAAACACACTGTCACATGACCCTTTGTCTGAAAAATCGAAAATGCTCTCTGCAGCGTATGTCTGTCACTCAGGGTTAAGACACCGGCTCTCTAACGGCTCAGATGGAGTGACTGGCAGGTGGGCTAGACAGGCCGGCTATGTAAAGGACACTGAGTGGGGAAAAGAAGCAGGAAAATCAAGAGGGGAGGGGAGGAAGGAGGAACGAGGAGAGAGCGATTTAGGTTTGGGAGTTTAGTCAGCAGTCTGGAAGTCCATGTGAGAAGGAAGTTCATCATGGGTTGGAAGTGACGGGAAAGTGGTGTAAGGAAGGGGAGGTGCTGATGCAGGCCGGGAGACTGAGGCAGCCCTTCTCCTTGGGGGATGTTGGACGCAGAGAGCTGGGGACTTCAGCACATGCAGTTCCAGGATGGGCCAGGCCAGACACACAGCCGACGAGAAAGGATTGCAGGTTCTCCCAGCCACCAGGGCTGAAAAATCACTCGGCAAACTTCAGTGGAGCATAAACATTGTTAAAGCCATTGCGTATGTTACTGTGTTGAGCCTGACTCAGACATAGAGCTGGGTGCCTTCACTGATCTGGTGGCAAGTGGCTTCTACATGGAATCCTTTGCACAGTAAATCTTGTCCACGTACAAGAGCGATGTACATATGCAGGCGCATCGCCTCCTGTGTTGGACACTGAGTGGAGGCCTGGAATATGCAGACACTGCATTTCCACATGGAAAGTTCGAGGAGCAGAAGCATTTGTCATGGGTGGTGCTGCCCACCCTTCCAGGGCAAGGACCTGCCATCTAGCCTCCTGGTTGCACAAGCCACATCCACAGGGGTCCTCCTATGGAGGGACACCCCACTTTCCTCACCACCCTCAGATGCAGCCAGCAGCCACATCCCTTGCGTTCCACCTCCAAACAGTGGCTTTCATGTGGGCCCCGTCCCACGGCGCACTCCCGCCGGGGCCCGGGGCCACCCCCTGGCCCTCCTCCCGCGTTTTCCTACTGTGCCAGAGCCACTCCTTTGGGGAAAAGCAAGTAGAATATGTAAGAGATCGGGAAACAAATCCTATGTAAAATAAACCAAGACCGTGTAAAATTTTAAATTACTTTTCTCCTTATCTTACATTTGTTCGTGGCTTTTGAAAATAGGACTTAGTTATACTGTTGAATTTTTATCATGAAATAAAGAACTATGATTCATGTGTATTCATTTGAGGAAGAAGATTTAAGAAAAATAAATGCGAAAGTCATTTATCTGTTTTTTGTGTGATGTCAGACAGGTCAGACCGAAACTGAGACCTGAGTGAGAAGTCATTCACTGTACGGGAATGACGGGAAAGGGGTGGTTGTCGAAAGCAGAGAAGTGGGAACTAGGAAGAGAGTGACTTCTGAGAACATAACAATTTACAGACTGAGAAATAAAAATTAAAGATTTTGAAGAGAAAAATTGCAAAGCTAAATAAATTTTAAAGAAAAAAATTCAAAGCTAAGGGCTTGAAGAGAAACCTGTATACAAAATAGAAGCAGCAGTCATAGAAGACAGATATTCAAAATGGATATTAGGAGACTTGAGGAATTTTTATGAGAATTTACAGTGACACCCTCTGCACATTAGGTTCATGCCTAGAGGTAATATTAAGTTGCCAGTTAATGGGAGAGCCTGTCATTTTTTTAGGAAGAGTATTTCTTCCTTGGGGAAGGAACTTGAGAAAAACAGAACCAGTGGTGAGCGGCCAGTCCAGGGGAAGGTGGGCCGTCCTTCTCCTTGCCCCGAGGATGACAGTGGACATCTGCTGTGCCGGCCCCTCACCACTGCCACCCACGGTTCACCCCCTTGTGATCTGTCCACATTTTGGCTTGGACTACTTTTTGGATGAAAAAGTTCCATGTGTTTGCACTTCATTATGAAAAGCAGACAATTTGTTTGATCCTCTGAAACTCAAAGCAATCATGGCTTCATTCTGAGAGTCATTTTCCCCTTAAAACCTCCAAGGGGAAAATGTCCATTGAGTAGTCATCAGAATGCTCAGATCACCATGGCCAGAGTTGCCCGAAGATTGTTTCTGTCACTAAATCTTCGGGTCCTCGTGGCCTGGCAACAGTGAGCCACCAGCCTGTGGCAAGCCCTCGTCATGCAAATGACCAGCTCTGCTGCCTCAGGCAGGCCTTAAGAAGCTGGAACTGGTGAGGCCAGCTGGAGCTCCGCCCACAGCATGTGGCAGGGTGGAAAAAGGAAAGGCTTGCTCCACAGTCACAAAACCCAGCGTCTGTCAGGAAGCATGTTCATTTATTTCCCTGCTGTTTGGATAAATCAGCCACTGTGGCCAAGATAAGTACAGGTAATGAAGGCTGTGTTTACTTACTCACAAGCAGGACTTTTCACAATAAAGTAATTCCCCAGATAATCTCTTAATCAGTATATCTACTCTAGCATTACCAATGAAAATGAAGTCACTCTAATTTTAGAGAGTATATGGGACGTATTAGTGACACCAAGTAGTAGTGCTTGGGAAACAGCCTGCTCCTCACATAGGAAAGAGTGTTACCATAATTGTTTCCAATTTCATTTCTGAGTTGGCTAGTTGCAAATAAGAATGAATTTGCCCACTAAAGAAACTTCACCTTGTTGTAAATATTTACCTAGCCAACGGTATGCCACGAAATCAAGAATAATAGACCACACTCTTACGAAAATATGTGTACTGCCAAGCAGAATCCAGGACTCTGCTTCTGACTACTTTAATGCAGGAAAGTGGGTCAAAGTCCAGTTCAGTGGTTGTCACGTGAGCAACAGAATCTGGCCCTACCTGGCCCCTGAGTTTCTGACTCAGAGGTTCTGGCATCAGCATTTGCCTTTCTCTTAAATTTCTACGTCTCAGTTCAAAGTGCACAGTTTGAAGACCACTGATCTAGTACCTGTTTTCTGCCTTTTCTTATAAAGCAGTAGGGCCCCTTTTTAGGTGAAATATCCTTCTGCTATAGAAATAAAATGAAACACAATGCTGTGGTCAGGTCCTGGGGGCCTTGAGCTGCCCACCTGCCCTCTCTCATACCCTCAGCAGCCCAGAAAGAACCAGGTTTTCATGGAACTGTGCTAACAGGACTGGTCTACTTGCAAAATTGAAGGTAATCTACATAATTGCTCTCTAGTAATGAACTCCAGGATTAGTGTGAACAATAAAGAACCCAATTCTGGGGATTCATCTGAGGGGAATGAAATCACTATCTCAAAGAGATACCTGCGCCCCTGTGTGCATTGCAGCATTATTCACAACAGCCCAGATTAGGAAGCAGCCTTGGTGTCTGCCAACAGATGAGTGGATAAAGAAAATTTTATTTTATTTATGTGTAACAGATATATACAATGAAAATAGAGATATTTATTAAAGAAGATACAAGAAACATTGTACCTAAGACAATGATGCCTCAGTCCCCTTCAAAGTAGACATCTTGGGACCTCATGCAGTTCTCCCAGCATCTCTTCCACTGTTCAGAACACTGCCAAATCCGTTGTTGGAATCACCATCAGCTGCCCCATCATATGTGCTGAAATCTCTTCCCTTTCAAAGGTGATTTTAGTTTTTGGAAAAGCCAGATATCACAGGGCACCAAATCTGGACTGTAAAGGAGCTGAGTCACCTGGGTGATCTGATGTTTCACAAAAAAAACCTGCATGAGACATGATGCATGAGCGGGAGTGTTGTGATGAAGCTGCCAATCACCAGTTGCCCATCGCTGCAGTCGTTTTTGTAATATTGTATCTCATAGCCAACAAAGAACATTAAGGTGCTATTCCTTATTAATTGTTTGGCCTGGAGGGGTGTAGTGTACTTGTGATAGATGACACCTTCCCAATCAGAGAACACAGTTATCATGGTCTTGATCTTGCTGCCACTTTGCTGCGCCTTCTTCGGGTGTGGAGAACCAGGCAACATCCATTGGGACAACTGGGCCTTCATTTCTGGATCATACGCAGAGCCAAAGACCCCTGATTCATCTCCAGCTATGACCTTGAGGAAATCTGGTTCACTGGTGGTGATGTGAATCAAGTCATTAGCAACTGCAGCATGATGTTCCATCTGCTCTGGTAGCAGAAGCCAGAAAACAAATTTTGCCACAACACGTTTCAGACCAAGATCCTGCATCAAAATCTTGGACACAGGATTTGTAGTGTTTGGAATCCCCAGATCAGCTTCTAGTTCTCACACTGTCAGTCGCCGATCTTTGTCAACTGCAGCCCATACACATTCAACAGTCTCAGGTGTCCTGCTTTTTCCAGACCTTCCAGATGTGGATCACTTTCAACAGAGATCATCTCTGAAGCATTTTTGCTACACTTTTATTTGCACTGCCCTCATTGCCTTGTCCCTGAAAGCCTTCTGAATCATCTGAATAGTTCCTGCGGAGGAATGTTCAAGCTCATCACAAAATTTGATGCAGATTCATTGCACTGCTTACTCAGTCATTTCAGATGTGACAGCCACACAGTACACATGCTCACTCAGTGGCATCTACCTCTCCCACTGACTAGTACAGTGAAGTCGTCACTGTTCATGCATGTGCACTCCAGTCCACTCTCTTTGGCAGTCAGGTTACATTGATGTCGTGCAAACCACTCTTGTTATATTAGCAATGGCTGGGCCTTTTTCAAACAGACCTCATACATACACAATGGAATATTATTTAACCATTAAAAGAAGGAATTCCAACCAGTTGTGCCCTTGAGGTCACTATGCCAAATGAAATTAGTCAGACAGGGAAAGATGGATACTTATGTACTCAAATATATGTGGAATCTAATAAAAGGCTGATGTCATAGAAATAGAGGGTAGGCTGGTGGTGGCCAAGGGGCTAGGGGTGGGGGAGAGGTGGGGAGACATTGGTCAAAGGGTATAAACTTCCTACTATAAAATGAACAAGTTCTTGTATCTAATGTCTAGCATGGGATTAGAGTTAATGATACTATAGTATATTATATACTCAAAATTATTGACACTGCAGCTTAAATGTATCACCACGCGCTCAAAATGATAACATGGTAATAGAGTCATTAACTGACCTTATCATGGTAATTATTTGACAGTATGGATGCATATCAAATCATGTTGTACACCTTAAATTTACCTATGTTGTATGTCAATTACATCTCAATAAAGCTGAGAAGGGAGGGCAATCAGGACAAAATTCTTAAAGGGACACAGACTCTGGAGTGCTAGGTATCTAGCTTGTCACTGAAAGGTGAGACAGGAGATCAAGCTTGAAGCTTTTTTATTTGATTCGGCCTTTGTTTTCTAGATCTCGGCTATGTATTCATCTGTACACAAACCTGGGCAACATGGGAATAAGTCAGGACAATCACTTAACGCACCAGAGTCCAGCTCAGGAGCTGTTCAGAGGCCCCTGTCTTCCTGTAATGACCTCTACGCGACCGTTAAAGACCTTGAGAACGCTCCCAACAGCGTCGGCACCATTCCACAGGCAGGGAGACCCGGGGAGGAGCCTGAGCCCGACTACGAGGCAATCCAGACTCTGAGCAGAGAGGATGAAAAGGCCGTCCTGGAGACAAGTGGCCACCGCGGCCCCTGTCCAAAGGAGAATGACTATGAGAGCATTGGGGACTTGCAGCAATGCAGAGATGTCACCAGGCTCTAGAAACTCAGAAGACAGCCCCTGATAGCCTAGGACCATCTGGTAGGGGACAGGAAGTAGACACGGAGCAGTGTGCCTCCCACTTCAGATGCTGCTTTGGTGACTGAGGACAGTGAAGCTGCCCAGACAGTTTGGGAACAGAAGGGTGCACACCTGGCTGCCAGGCACTGCCACACCCAAGCACAGTCCTCGTGTCCCCACATCCTCAGGACAGGTCCCGGCTGTCAGCGGAGGAACCACCACTCCACCTGCCTAAATACTGCCGTTCAGAAGAGCCAGGTTTCCTTCCTCCCTTCTTTGGTTGCTGTCTGCTATTTCCCCCCTTGAAATCTCCCCATTTCTACTGGTTCGTTCCGAGGAAATTCACCCACAGGGCTTGGCCTTGGCCTTTGCCTTCAGCACAGGTGTTTTCAGATGGTAAGAAACCATGGTTGGTTGCTGGTCCTGTCAGATCCCCTTAGGGATCTTGAGTCTTCATGCCTTCTGATACAGACACTCCACATCAGCAGCTTCTCCCAAAGGATTTGAAGTCATTTTTAGATGCTTTATTTTATTTTTCTAGTTGAAACAATTTTCCTCCCAGTATTTGAAACTTCAGAACCTTTGAAGTATTTGTGGTGACCGCTGTGGTACTACTGTACTTGTTTTAGCCCTGGGCCCATTCCTCCAAAACAGAGAGCCTTAATGTCTATGTTGGGACGCAGACCTCACTCCTGGACAGCCCATGACGGCCGCCTCTGACTGGCTGTGGACTTGAACGTGTGTTTCCGATGATCTGTGAGGCCACACCAGCAGCATGAGTTCCATAAGCGAACTGCTACCCTAAGGTAATCTAGCTGAGATTAAAATGTAAACATTTATTTTTGTTATATAAATTTATATGGTGTTTTATGTTTAATGCCTAATTTCTAGGAAGTGCCAGAAAGATGTATATTAACTATCTTGATTTTATGTACATTGATTTACACTTTCATTTTGAAAAGATACCTTAAAGCACATAAGCTAGGAAGTTACAAGGCATTATTATCGTTTTTCTAACCAAGTGTTTAAAACGAGGAAGGTTTTTAAAGACTCAAACTTGTCAAATGGTACTTAGAGCTCTTGATCAAAATCATCTAGCTCTCAGAGAAATCAGTGGAATAATCATAAATGATCATTTTCAGTGGTTTGTGATGGGAAATATTGAAAAATTTGAACTGGTAAATGGAAAGAACAAAATCTGACTAAGGATGACTGTTTATACCTTACTCAGAAAGGTATAAATAACTCAAGGTTTGGTTACATTTTGAAGAAAATGATGAATTCTGTAGTCCAGTACTGGCAAATACTGGGTAATTTTTTCCCTTCATTTTACAAAAATCAGTGTTTGTAATAACTCAGATTGAAGATAAGCCTGGTTTGAATTTAATCGTTTCTTTAGATTTTATAAGGCCAACTTTGGGAAAGTTACTCACTTTTCACTTTAAAAGGAACCTGGTCATTATGGGCTACAGAGAGGGAGCTGTCTACACTGTTAAAGGGAAATCAGAGAGACAAGCAATCCTTCCACAGTGCTGGGGTATCTGTGACTTTTCATATTGTACCACCTTGCTGTCGTCACTCGTCATGACAAAGAATGTGATTGGGAGGGGGAAGCATTTGAAAACTCCAGGGACCCTGCTCACTGACACTCAGTGAGGTGTTTTCCATCCCTCACACTCACGGCTTGGTTTGCGACTGCTCTGCCATATGTTTCTGAAATTGTGAAGTGAGCTCTGTTCGGGCGCACTGGTTGTGAATTTTCACTCAGCCTGGCCACTTGCTTCAAGACCCCGTGTGCATGAGCACTGCCGTCCTGATGAGAAGATAATGGCAGAATTCCCTCAGATTAGGGAGTTGCCAGGATGGTACAAGACTGTTTGTGCCTGGTACTTTTCACTGCTTAATATTAATGAGTTTGACCCAGCCGTCCCTGTGTCATGGGGTCCTGCAGTGTGTGATGACAACCACGGCGCCCTAGCACTGTGCCTGCGGCATCGTGTCCTTCGGGAGAGCCTGACCGTTCGAAAGTTTACTGTATTCTATGATGTTGTATTTATTGCCAGGGAAGTGAGTATCATCTCTAAAGTATAAAAACCATCTAAAGAGAGAGAGAGCCTTTTTATAAATAATCACATCCTCTTGAAATTCCATTATCATCAGAGTTTCCCCCAGAAGCGTTGAAATGCAGGCTGTGCAGTACAGCCAGAAAATGTGCACTGAAGTATCTCTCTTGATTCGAGAGCTGGTGCTAAGAATAAGTTGGAATACAAAGTGTTGTAAGTTTACTCTAAGGGGAGCTATTAGGTCCTCCAGCACAGATCCTGAAAACGAGTGACAGCAGAGCCTTGGAGAGGTGGAAACTCGGCTTCCAGATGCGGCTTCCAGACATGGCTCTGTTCTGCAGACCACTGGCACCTGAGTGAGGGGTGTTTATTTATGGATCATCGCCGTTTTGACCTTATACTCAGTGTTTCATAAATGCTATCATACTGTATAATGCTATTATACTGTATTTGTCAAAAATCTGTGCTACATTGTTTGAATTGGACAAAAGCCTTCAGCTTCTTTCAAAAGGGGTTTCATTTTGAGTTAAATGGTATAGTTTAAATGTATGAAAGGTAATTACCCCCCAAAAAGAACTTTCTGTATCTTTAAAAGTCCATTTTGACATCTGACATCCATATTACACATTCCATTATAATAATCTAAGTTAGTGAAATCATACAAAAAGATAAAAATAAGTTTTAGGCAAGTTATTTTTAATCATATAAATCAGATTTATAAACTTCTTTTGCCTAAAAGTAGGATCTTTGTCTTTGTTCAAATATTTTTAAAGTTTAGTAGAGTTTTTTCTGCTGCTTTTACTATTTCCCAAATCTAGTCAGCAGGGAAGTGTGACCTGTTCTTTGTGAAACGTTTGAGAAAATTTTAAATTTGAAAAAAAGTAATTTTTGTAGAGTAATTTTTGTTCCTGCCCTGCACTCAATTACATCATTAGTTTGAGGAAAGCTTTTGAAGCTCTCCTTTTTGGGAACAAGGCAATTACTGATTTATTTGTCCTCAAAATCTGAGAGTTAACTCAAATTCAGAGCTAACTAACAGTAGGAAGGCAACATCAAGAGGTAAAACTTAACCTCAGCGTGTCACTGTCTTGGTTTCTCATGTTGTATTTTCATTTTTCTAGTTTGAGCATTTATTCACTTTAACCAGTAACAAACTGTATACACACACACAGGTATACATATACACACATATATCTTCTGGTGCTTAATTAATCAGGACATGTCCTATTATTCTATTAAGTATTTTGAGTGGTTATTTTACTAGTATGAAAACTATTGCAATAAAAGCAGAAGAGAAACAATAATTCTCCAATAATTTTCATTTGGTATTTATAGGAAAACCTTCTTAAGTTGCTCTCATTTAGTTTTTCTAATGAGTAAATTCAGATTTTAAATTGTTTCCATAATTCTTCTAGCTGAAGAGCAATGGTATTTTAAATGTTTTATTATCCATGTGACTCACCATACATTCAGCCTCATACGAGGAGATGTGAACAGGTGTCTCAGGTGTTGGAGAAGCGACCTGGCCAAAAGCTACAAGAGCCACATGAGCCGGGATGGGCCCACAGCAGGATGACCCCACCAGGTCGCAGAAGCAGAGCCTGTCCTCGTGTGGGGCCATTTTCTTTAATCCTCTTCAGAGAATCCATAAGCAGTGCTGGAGTCTGACGTAGAAAGTAACTGCTCTGAGCTGATAACCAAGCTGCAGTCGCAGAGCTTCAGTGTGAGACCATCTGAGGAGTTTTGCGAATGAGTCAATAACAGTTTTCAGTGCTCCTTGTGAATGTGACTCCGTGGGATCTGGTGACGCCATTCCCCTGAAAGTGTTGCTGCCTGGTGCCTGGCCAGCTTCACTTTGGCTGCTGGAAGCCCAGTAGGTACTGATGGATATTTCAAGGAGATCTTGACAGGCTCGTTGTACTGTGTAATTGGGCGAAGTTAAAGTGTAATATTTGCTGTTAATAAGTGACTGAGTAAAAATAGAAGCATGTGTCTGTAATAGCAAATAATGGCTTTATTTGCAATGAAATTGAGATTTCTGACCCTGTGGCAGTACTTTCTTGCTCTGTATTGTACCTTTTCTTTGCTACGTTTTTTCGACAGTGGCATTAGACAGGTTGTATGCACTTAGAAAGTGTTTGACCTAGAGAGATCAGTCCAGAAACCATGATAAATTAGAATCTGCATCTGGAATTACCAAAGTAAATTGAATGAAACCATGGTCCAGAAGAGAACGAACATTCATAAGTGTTTTTTTATACTGTTCATTTTAAGTCCATGTTTACATCCAGTCTCTAATATTTATAAAGTATTTTATATTTTTCCAGGTTTTTCTTTTATTTAACAAAGAAATAGTAGTTCAGATTCATCTTCATGCCAGATGAAATGGGAAATGCAAGTTTTGTTAAAAAGACAATTTTTTAGCATTCAGTTTGGTAACCACTTATTTTAATGCAGTTAGAGTAGTTTTTCATTGCTCACTACCCCCGTACACTATGAGTATTTTTAAAAACTTACTGAAGTCTGGGCATCTCAGACCACCTTGTGTAATGAATTGTAAAGGCTGATTGCTGTTATTTCTCAGACTTCTGTGTGTTAAAGTGACAACAGTAAATATTTTAATGTTGTAACCTCTTAAATAACTGTGCTGTATTAATATGACTCACATGTTCAGGGGAAGTTTGAAATATAGCTAAACATACAGGAATTTACATTTCATTGTTCATGCATTTTTTTTCCTCATAAAAATAGTTCCCCAAAAAAAGTGACTAATTGTCTGCTAGGCGGTCCCACAGTTTCAAAATACTTCATGACACTGAGTGGAATTTTGATTCAATGTGTCAAAATGTCTCTGCCATGGTCAAATTTTTAACTCACAAAAGAGTGAGAAGTTGTGCTGGCAATTTTTAAACCTTAGTTTTAGTCCAAAAATATCTCACATCGCCTTCCACAGCTTATAATTTTTTCCTCCCTGACTCTAGTCCTTTTAAGGAGCGGTTAAAAGATTGTGGGCAGCGAGGCACTGTTTCTTCCAGTCTCGCCTGGGCTCCTCCGGTACAGAATTACCTTCTGTCACTTTGCCCAGCACAACCTCTGGGCCTCTTCCCCACCCCAGTCCCTCCTAGTCTGCTGTTTCCAGGATGTCTCCTCTTGTCTATCTTCCCCAGTACCATTCACAGCCCCGCCTCTTGGCGTAGAGCCGTCTCACCTCCAGGTGAACAGACAGATCCTCCACCCACCTTTCTCCTGAGTGGTGGGCTACTCAGGTGAAGCCACAGACCAACCTGGGAAAGCAGATGCTAGTTGTGCTTTGTCATGAGCTTTGCTCAGTCAGCCAAGTACATACTTGCCCACATCTCTCATGAGAATGCTTGTCACTAAGGGGCCATGGAAAACAGCTTTTAAAAAATTGTGTTGAGTACTCAAACTCACAAACGCAGAAAAATTCTCACCGGTAATCTCACTGTTCCCCACAATGCACTGAGACAGCCCTGTGTCTCCTGAAGCTCCAGTTGAAGATCCATCTTTGTGCAGTAGACCAATAGTTTCCTGTAAAGTGGAATGCTGTTTATTTTAAAGGGGAAAAAACCCTTTCTTGTCAGAAGTAATCATTTATAAAAACAACCTGTTTTAGCCAGGTAGCTATTGCCCGCACCCCTATGAAATACTTTTTGTGAGTTATGTCAATTGTAACCAGTCTGAGCTACTCTCCCATGTCCTGAGGAAATGAAAGTGCTCCAGCATCTAACTGCAGTCACCAGACACCGAATAACCTGGACATTTCCAGGCAAACTGCTTTTTGGAGTGAGAAACCAAGCTCCCTTTAAGGATGAGCCCAGGTGAATGGTGCACAGAGGGGCTGCAGGTCTCTCTTTCTGGACACCTTAGGATCCATCAGCATTGCTCTTGATAGTTTTGTTTCATTTTGATTTTTTTTAAGTTCACTCTAAGTAAACTGAACATCATAGTTAATATTTGAATAGATACTAGAGACTGCAGTTTTAGCAGAACAGATAGCTGCTCATTCTCTTTATGCATTTAATTTTTAAAAGTCCACCCAATGTAGTAGTTTGTCACCCTTAATGGGACAACTAAGGGGAAAAGAGAGACCAGCATTTGCCCCTGGGTCTTGCACTCCAGAACTGTCTGGTCGTAATATCTGGTTTTGTTTCCTTTGGTTTGTTCATTTGCTTGTTTTTTAACTCTACAAGTTGGAAACAATGAGTTTAAAACAAACTCTTTCCTTTTCCTTTCTTAAGCTTAAAGAGAAATTTTTTAATGTCAGGTCCCCACTGAGGTGGGAGAAGCTCCGGTGATAGACAGCAGCCACCTTCCCTAGCTGGGAGACTGACCCCAAGGCCTGATCTGCCTGTAAGGGACTCAAATATTCCCTTGACAACTTTTTATGCATTTTTAGTATAAAACCCATAAATGAACCTGACGCGGTGTTCATGACCCATCCCACAAGCTTGCATACTTTTTCACAATTTGTGTATGAACACAGGCTTCTCCTGTATTTCCTGGAGCCGTAATAGAAAGTTGATTCCTGGGGGCTACTCCACATGGCTTCCTGGTGTCCTGGGAAGCAGTTGCACGGTGATGGTTGTGAAGGTAGAAGTCAGGGGGAAATGTCAGGAAGGTTGTTCACATCCTGATGTGATTTTATGTTCACATCCAAAAGCATTTGAGAGGGTCCTATATGCCTCAGATTTAGACACTTCAAAAAATTTTTTTTTCGAGTACCAACTGTATACTTCATCCTGGAGCAGGGTGGGGAGCCGGGGGAGGGGATAGGCAGGGCTGGACCAGAAGTAAAATTTGAACTAAGTGATATGGGCAAGGCTTCCTGCCCCTGTCTGTTTATGAGTCTGGAAAATGTATTATCCCAAATCCTTGTCCACCACTCCGAATCTCTTAAGGAGCAAGTGTAAGTAGGTATAAATGAGCAAGGCTATCTCAAAGATTTAAATTATTGTTTAGATAGTTTCTTCTTTATAAATTCAGGAATCAACCTGGTTTGTAGATAGCATAATGTGGTTACTAAAACTATAATTTGTAGGTCACTAAATGCATCCTTTCAGAGACTCATCTAAAGACTTCTGACTTTGTTTAACTAAGAAAAGAAATTCCTCATAATGGAAAAACACACCCAACAAAAGACTTCCACAAACTCTAAAACAGTGTAACGTCAGTCTGACATCTACCCCAGAGTATGTATGGGTTTCTTGCCTATAGTAGTTCAACAATTTTTATGGGAGAAAAAAAATGCACATTTTTAATTTCTTGGAAATGTATATTAAGGTGTTGAATTAAATTCTCAGAGGGGATAATTTAAAAAGAAGCATTGGTTTTGGAGATGAGCTCACAGCTCTATGGTCACCATTCCAGCATTAACTTTACTATGTGACATTGAACAAA